AAACCACCATCTCTAAGGCTCCACGAACCCAACCCCATAGCCCTCAGGCTGACTCTTTCCCTGATCTCCTTGGCTTGGCGGCTGAAGACTGACACTGCCCAAACATCTCAGGGGCCCCCTGGAAAATCATGGACACCGAGCTTCAGTTAACTCCTAACAGTGAAGGGTAAGTCCATCCTCTTTTTAATCAACATGAGGCCACCCACTCCACGCTGCCCTCTTTTCAAGGACCTGTCTCCTTGGCCTCCATAACTGTTGTGGGAATTAATGGCAAGGCCTCCGGGCCTCTCAAAACTCCCCAAGCCTGGTGTCAATTAGGCCAGCATTCCTTTCTACATTCTTTCCTAATCATCCCCACGTGTCCAGTTCTCTTGTTTAAACCAAGATACCCTAGCAAAATTGTTTGCCTCCTTAACTATTCCTGGGCTACAGCCACAGTTCATTGCCATCCTCCTCTGCGAACCCACCACCTCCCTCAATAGCTCCCCTTATGTCCCGCTATGTTAACCCTAGTGTGCAGGACACCACCTCTTCATCCATAGCTACAAGTCACTCACCCCTCATCATCTCCTTAAAACCTAACCACCATAATCCCGCCCAGTGCCAGTACCCCAACACTCAACACCCTTTAAATTAAAAGGCCTAAAAAACCCACTGGGCACGGTGGGTCAGGCTTCTAATCCCAGCACTTTGGGAGGCCGAGGCAGGTGGATCACCTGAGGTTGGGAATTCAAGACTAGCCTGGCCAACATGTTAAAATCCTGTCTCTATTAAAAATACAAAAATTAGCCAGGCGCGGTGGTGTACACCCGTAGTCCCAGCTACTCAGGAGGCTGAGGCAGGAGAATTGCTTGTACCTAAGACGTAGAGGTTGCAGTGACCTGAAATCCCGGCACTGCAATCCAGCCTGGGTGAAAAAGTGAGACTCCATCTCAAAAAACAAAAAAGAAAAAGAAAAAAAAAGGCCTAAAAAGCTTGCTTGTTATCACCCATGTATTATAACACGGCGTCTTAAAAAATTTTAGATATTTTTATTTCTCCAAATTTGTTATTTATCAGGAATGACTGAAATAAAGAATATAATTGAGTCCCATTATCATCATCATGGAAATGGCTTTAAGAGAAAACTGGTCAGATGACTATTACTGCTTCCCATTATCAACCAGCAAATAATTGCCACTGATAAATTGACAGCCAGGAGTCTGTCAAGAATGCTCAAGATGTTATATAATATAACATGCCTGTTCACAGGGGGAAAATTCCTAGGAAACAACTTAAGTGTACTTCTTGATTTCATCATACAAGACAAGCACAAAAGCACCACCCATGCCTCTGAGAACACTGGACGATGCGCCCTTGAAAAAAGCTTTGCCCCCTTTATCACGAGCAATCTTCCTTCAGCAGTCAAGGTGCCTGTGTACATGGTGTCAGTTCCTTTGCACCCCAACTGCATCATTATGCGGTGGCGAAGTGTCAAATAAATAGTAAGCGGCAGTGACTGTGCGATCAACCAGCTGATGACAATGTGAGTGTTCTTGGGATCCAGGAGCATTCCCTTTGCAGTGTCATAGATAACAAAGTAGGGAGCTTGGAAGATAATACCCCGCACAGACATGTTAAAGTCTTGATACAGGTCCTTAATCCCATCAGACTTGTAGATCTTAACCAGGCAGTCGCTGAGGCCTCAGAATTCACTTTCAGCTCCAGCTTTATCTACATTTGCTGCTAGACGGGTACAGGCAAAATAAAGAGGGTACACAAAACACAAGGACACAAGGATGTGGCCCCAGCAGCACTGTTTGATGCCAGATTCCCTGCAAAGTAGCGCCAAAACTGGGTCCTCTTGTCCACACCACCCAGTTAGATCTGCTTGTATTTATCTTTGAAGTCGAAGTTAAGAGCCTGGGTGGGGAAGTATGTGATGACATTGGCAGGTTACTGCGCCAGGACAGGACTCCCTGATCCTTGGGAATAGGAGCCATGCAGTCTATAATGCCCTTGGTATTGCTTATCTGCACTGATCGGCTTGCTGGCATGCTGCACCTGCAGCAGCAGCTTGACTAGCTCAATGGGTGCTACCACCGTCCTGGAGATGGCTGCGGCCACTCCACTTGCCAGGAAGTCCTTGGGGAAGGACACAGCGGCATCTGGAATATATGTAATATATATATATATATATATATATATATTTTTTTTTTTTTTTTTTTTT